AGTCAAAGGTGTAGATAAAACCCTAGTTGCAGCTTTGCTTGATTTCCCCAAATCCTTCTTCACCACTTTGATGTATTTCCCTTTTCATGCTCTTGATTGCTCCAAAATAGCAAGTAAAACAAAAGAAAAAGGAAGAGAAAATGAAAGAAGAACGAAAGAAAATAAAATAAAATGGAAAAATTAGTAAGAGAGAAAAACTCTCAAAACTCTCTATGAACTCCCTCTACAAACTCTCTTTGGAGTTTGAGTCATGAAATTTGGTCTTTAAATACTCTCAAAATTGAGCACAAACAAAAGCCCAAAATATCCTCAAAATTTCTGATTTTCGGCAATTTTCAACGCGCAGGTGCGCTAGTGCACACTAAAAGTGTGCAGGTGTGCACCATTCCAGAAATAAAGTGCGCGGGTGCGCACTCTTGATGAAATCACAAATTGCATAGGAGGTCCTCAGGATATTTGCATAGTTACTCCCTCAACTTTGATGTTGTACATTTTGGTCCTCTAATTTTGACTTTTATATCCATTTTGCCCTCCATAAATTGCATCCCAATATCCTCCAACTTTCGACACTTGTGCAACTTGGTCCCCAACTTCACAATCTTGCACACTTTTAATCAATTTTTCTCTTTTTGCTTGTTCTTTTTCCTTTTGGTGATTTTTACCTACAAACACAATAATTACATAAATGTGAGTAGAAATTCACTCATTTCTATCAATAATAGGTATATTTAATTAATAAATAAGTGTGCAAAATCACACTAATCAGATACGTTGGCTTTGTCAAGAACTGAAAGCTAAAGTAGAAGACCACAGTAACGCTACTACATATCAAAAGCAGAATATGAACCATGGTTGATTACCATACTTCCAGCACCTCAACAAGACTATTTCACCCACTCTTAAATACCTCTTGTCATTATATATTACATTACAGATGCTGAAGAAGCTAAATAGGGGTGCATGTGCATCTATATTAATACATGGTGTAGAAAAACAAGATAAAAGAGACTAAGTATCTTTATTTTAATACATTTAAAATATACAGACTCCCAACCTTTAAATTAGGGATGGCAACGGAACGGGGCGGGGCGGGGCGGGGCGGGGCCGGGTCGGGGCAACCTTTCCCGCCCCGCCAAGCAATTCCTCATCCTGTTACCCGTTTAAGGCGGGGCGAGACCCTTGCCCCGTTTAATTTATTTTTTTAGTTTTTGATAATTTATTTTATTGTCCTCATTTATTACACCGAGATAAATAATTTTAGTTGCCATTTTCTATTAGAACTAATGAAATTTCGTGAAATTTTCAATTTAAAGTATTGAATTCTTAAAAAAAAAAAAATTAAATGGGGCAGGGCACCCTTTATCCTTCCCCGACCCAAATACTCGATTAAGTGGCAATCCTCGTCTCATTTGGGGTAGGCCCTCGCATGTATCGAGTTTGTTGGATTTTTTTACCATCCCTACTTTAAATAAGAAAATACAGAAACTAAAGAGCCTAAATATTAGGCTACAGTTACAACAATTTAGTTATACTAGATAAGTTACAGCTTATCTAGGTTCCCTAGGAGGATCAAATCAAGTGAAACCAATTTAAGATAACGTGGAAACAACCCAATAAAATAGGTAATACCGTTAACTTTCAATACTCCCCCTCAAACTGGTTCGTAGATATCAAATAAACCAAGCTTGGAACAAAAGGATTCAAACACTTGTTTCGATAATCCCTTAGTAAACATGTTTGCAAGCTGATCCTTTGTTGGAACATACGGCATACAGATCACACCACATTCTAATTTTTCCTTGATGAAATGTCTATCAATTTCAACGTGTTTAGTTCTATCATGTTGTACTGGATTATGAGCTATGCCAATTGCTGCTTTATTATCAGTGTAAAACTCCATTGGAGCTTCGAATTTTATCTTCAAATCTTTAAGAAGTTTTTTTAGCCATATTAGCTCACACATTCCTAGTGCAACTTCCCTAAATTCAGCTTCTGCACTACTTCTAGCCACAACACTCTTTTTTACTGCGCCATGTTACCAAATTACCACCCACAAAAGTGCAGTACCCTGAAGTAGACCTTTTATCATTGATAGACCTAGCCCAATCAACACATAGATTCTCATTCCTTTTAAATAACAAACCATGCTCGGGGGTAAGTTTCAAATTTCTCAAAATCTTGTAAACTGTATGCAAATGTTCTATTTTTGGTGAGTGCATAAATTGACTTATTACACTTACTGAGTAAGCAATATCCGACTGCGTATGAGACAAATAAATCAACTTTCCTACCAAGTTTTGGTACCTCTCCTTGTCTACAGACTAACCAACATCTTCTATTAGCCCAAATTTTTTATTTGGATAGATGGAAGTTTCACATGGCTTGCAACCTAGCATGCCAACTTCCTTGAGGAGGTCTAAAGTGTACTCTCTTTAAGAAATGACAATCCCTTTAGTTGATCGGGTAACTTCCACACCAAGAAAGTACTTTAAAACTCCACGATCTTTAATTTCAAATTCCTTGGAAAGAGCCCTTTTAAGACCTACAATATCAGATTCATCATCACCCGTTAAGATTATATCATCACCATAAACAATGAGTATAGTTACTTTCCCTCCAATAGAATTTCTAAAGAAAAGTGTATCTGTGTATGATCAGATTGACTTTGAGAATAACCTACTTTTCGAATAGAGCTTATAAAGATTTTTAACGTCTACACACCTTATCTCTTCCAAGAGATTCTTCAAAACCTGGTGGTAACTTCATATAAACTTCCTCAGCTAAATCACTTGTTGGGAGGAGATCACAATTAGC